CGGGCAGTCCGGGCACATGGCTTGCGCCAGGCTTTTCGAGCCAATCGCTCCTCTGATCGCCCAGTTTCCACGTTGCACTGTACATGCACCTTCCCGGCGAGGGACTGCTACGGACAAGCAACAAGGCGAGCACATGCTAACCTTATAACTGCAGGTTTCAGCCGCTGGAGCAACGCTGACGGGGTCACCACTGCATCTACCAGCAGGGAGCTGCTGCAAATGCTACTCGTGCGAGCACTGCTCCCCTGCCCGGTGCTATTGATTTTCAGTGGGGCTGGCCTATACCGTGTCTTTTGCGCTGTGTGCCTTGTCTCGGTGCTGTGTCGTTTTTGCCATGTCAGTGTGCGGTCATTGCTCGGTGGCCAGTGATCAGAAATCGCTGGTTAAAGTTGTCCTCGCCCTGCGAAGGTCGGCTGCCTGCTGCTGCTGCTGCTGAAGATCCGCGCTTCTTGGTACCTTTCGCATGTCGCCAACAAAGCCCCCTATCCTTTCGGACGCGCCTTATGCCTTTTCCTCTCCCCCCGTCCCATCCGCCACCTCCTTGTTGCCCGTTGCTTTGTTTTGTTAAAATGCGTGTTTTCTTTTTTTCTTCAGACAGAGTTGCGTGAAGATGAAGGATCTGGGGGCCGGTGCTCATGCGCCGGTATCCGCCGAAACGAGCGACATCGAGGAGACGCTAATTGTGCAGGCAATTTTGAATACGGCACGCGCACAGGATGAAATTTTGCACCGCCTGGCGAAAGTTGAGGTAAGCCCTCCCGCTCTGTGTGTGTGTCTTTGCCGATCGTTCATCGTACAAGGCGTCCCGTCCGCGTGTGGCACAGCACGCCTGTGCTGCTGTCTGCTTTCGTGTTTTGCTGAGCTCTCGGGATGTCCGATAAAACATCTCCGATGCCGTTGGATCACCGCAGTGGCAAATTGTTAAGAGTGAAGTATGGAGATTGAAATTAGGTGTCATGTATAGGAAGACATTTCACGATGCAGTCACTCTTTGTTTCATCCCTTAGCTGTATACACAGACCGAACAGTGCATGCGAGTAGGAGTGGGAATCGTGTAGCTTTGCCTGCATGCTTCCAGCAAGCGCTGGAGGCCGCAGTTAGCGGGGATTTTGATGAGCTGTAGGGAAAAGATGAAGGGGCATGATGGTTTAGCCAGAAGCGTGGTTTAGCCGATAAGTACGCCTCAAACCCTATATCGGAGTATCTTGCCTCCAGAGAATGCACACCTTACCGGAACATGAAGCCAGGCGAGAATGCCGCAGATCTGAGAACGAGTCAAGAAGCCTTGACTACAGAAGAACCCTGCTTTTGTGGACATATGCGTCAGAGTGGTGGCAAAGATTGTTTTCGCAGATTTCAGTTGAAACTGTTTATTTAATTTTGCTGTCGATAGAATCTGAGAGATCCGTGGGGGACTCTGGGCGCTTCGGCAGTGAAATCCCTTGAAATTGTTCTATTTTAGGATAAGCAGAGTGTGATGCTGGAAGAGCTGCGACGTTCTCAGATGCAGTCCAGCGAGCACTTCATCAACATTATCAATCAGGTAATTGTCAGTCCGAACTTTTTTGATGAAAATAGCTGCTTTCTCCTTTCCTTCCTCTCGCACATGGACGGGCTGAACTGAGTAGCAAAGGAATTTGGCAGTGGATTTATCGGCAAGTAGCGTTATTTCCAGAAATTCCACTTTTCATTAGAAGCTCGCCAGCAGTATCGAAATTAATTCTAAACTGGTTTTCGATCACCTTTCATTGGCTGGCCAAGATTCACCTCCGGCGCTGGGAACCAAGCCTGATGCAGTTCATTTCGATGATAGTTTAGTAGTATCGGATGCTTGAAGAGCCCAAACCTCTTCCCCGCTTCTATTTAAGGAACTGTAGAAAGAGAGAATCATCGTTAGCTTTCACGTGGAGTGCTTGCCAATTAGGCTACTTCTTTGCATGCTTACTTCCTACAGAGAGCGCACTCTATATGGGTTCTTTGCCGTCATTGCTTTGCTCGTTATTAGTAACGGGGATATGCATCATCCGGAAATGCGCATTGCGTTGCCTCCGAGTGACTTATTGCTGAAAAGGAGAGGTGTATTCGATGCTGACTCACTTACTGTTCGCCCTTGCTTTAGCGTATTTGGTTTTCAGCAACGCAAAGAAGAGGTCGATCGTCTGATGTGTTTGTTCAGCACCATGCGACTATCGCATTCGGCAGAAGCAGCGCCGGCAGAGCAGCGTCTGGGTGAGCAGTAGCGCGAGTTGCAGAACTCAAATGATAACCTGTAAAATTAATTTCATTGGTTCCCTGGGATTGCGCTGAATGTGCACATATCAACAACAGAAACGTCTGTATAAATTCAGACTTTAGTAGTGCGAGAGCATTGTTGAGGACGATGT